CGGACCGACGGACGAAGCCGGCGGGGAAGGACGGTACCGGTAACGACACCGGTGCCGGGGGGCCCCGGCGCGCCGCGCTTATAGCTGCCGGGCGGTGCCGCACGCTCCGCCCCCCCGGCCACGCCCTCCGGCCACGCCCCGGCCACGCCCCGCTTAGGGGACCCCTCCCTCCCCGACCCTCGGCGTCCTCCTTCCCCGGGCTGCAAGTGCGAGGGGTCCGGGCGGTGGGAGGTGAGCGGGCGAGGGGCTCCGGAGATGGGGAAGAGCGGGGGGGGGGGACACCGCCGGGAACCCCCGGGACCCTCCCGGGACCCCCGGGGACGGGGTCAGCCAAGGCTGGGGCTCGCTGAAATCAGCCCGGTGGGACCCTCCAGTGAGGGGATGCTCCTCCAGGAGAGCCCAAGGGAAGATTTTTTTTCTTCCTCTACAAAATGCTTAGGCTGGAAGTAAAGGGCCCCTTGTTACCCTGAGGGTCAGCACCTCGCAATCCGGCATCCCCCCCCGTGAGGGTCCTTCGGGCTGCCGGTGGGCCTTTCCCTCCTTGCCTTTCTCCTAAAAATTAAACCAGCAGTCTTCCAGCTCGTGGAAATGCCTCCTCCCGGAGGGCGGCTCTCCTGCTCTCCCACCCCAGACTGGTGCGGAGAGCAGCAGTGGGATGCTTCGCCCTCTGCCCCGCACGCCCAGGCCATCCATTTTGGAAAGAAATACCTACGTTTAATCTTCCCCTACCATCGCTTTATCCTAAACCACTCGTAAAGAAGATAATTCGGACACCCGCTTTCTCCTGGCTCCGACAGCGCGCTCGCCCATCCGACACAAGCCGCGCCGTGCCCTCTCCCCTCCGCAGGCACGCCGGGGCCTCGGCGTCGCAGCCCGGTCGAGTAAGGAGGAGCGGTGGAGGGAAAGCAAACAGAATTGATTTTAAGCTCTGCTCAGCGATGGCAGGAAATCCTTCCTAGGCAGCAGGGAAGCAGCAGCATGTGTTTTTAAAACAGCTCCAGCACTGGATATGAAACACCAGTAAAGATTACATCTTCCCAGGCACGTTTGAGTGGATAGCAAGGGAGCCAGAGCTACAAAGGGTCCTCAGATTCGGCTTCGTGTGAGCGGGGAGCGGGATGCCGCTGGCAGGGCACGGTCACGGTCACCCTCCCTCCCCACAGAGTGCATTGCACCCCAGCCCCCCAAAATCCTCACCCTGGAGCCAGCAGGAGGCCTGCCCAGCTCGCGGTGCTGGGAGGCTGTGGGGAGGAAGTCGGATGGGGAGGTTTAAGGAAAAGGGGGAGACAAAGGGAACCCTGAGGAGGAAAAAGGGGGTGGGCATGGAGGGGGGCGAGAAGGCGGATGCGGCGGAAGCCCAGTGACAGGTATCTGGCCCCGGCGGCGAGGCGAGCGAGCACTCCGGGTAGATGAGTGCTTGGAGCGCTTGGACGAGCAAGCGCTGGTGCAGAACATAAAGAAAATGGAAGCCCGTGCCCGGCGGCATGAAGGGAGGCTGCCGGCCTCCGACCTGCCCCTTCCTAGCGGTGGCAGGGGACTGCACCCCCCTGGGTCACCCCCTGCCTGCAGCGTGCCCACCCCTGTCAGTGGCCAGGCTGGAGCATGTTTGAAAGGAACCCATGTGGGTGCTGGAGCAGCCCACCCTACCCCACGGCGTGCAGGTCAGGGTGGGAGGGGTGTCCTTTACCTGCAACCCTGTGAAAAAAATGCCGTACGCCCCTAAGAGGCTTTTTGGGTCCCAGGCTGGGGGAAGCGATGCTGTGCCGGGGACTTCGCACTGGCCCGGCCATCCAGATTTTATTGCCAAAGGCTGCAGGATCGCGGTGGCAAGGTTTATCTCTCCGGCTGATGCCGCTGTGGCAGCGAGTGGGGTGGGTGACCCCCTCCACACCAGCCCCGACCCACTTGCCCATGCTGGGAGGTGGAAGAGTCAGGTGCTGCAGCAGGGCAGGGCTCACCGCTCCTGGGGTCCCGACCCCTCCGTCTCCCTCAGCAGGGACCACAATTTCTTCCCGGAGACAAAGAGACGGCAAAAATAGATTTTCACAGGGGGTGATGACTCAGGCTGGTGAGTAGCCAGAGCAACCTCCCTGTCCCATGAATAACGATTCAAAGATGCTCAGCGGGCAGCCGGCTCAGCGAGGATGCCGTGATGCCGAAACCCTGCCCTCCTGCGGGTGACGGGGTGGGGAGAGGCGACGGGGGGGCTTTGGGGAGCCCAGTTTTGAACAGGATTGGCGACAGAAGCTGGTTTTAACAAGAGCTCACAGATTCAGACCAGAGGGACGGGGAGGGAGCGATTAAGGGATTTTCTTCCATTTAATTAACACCCAAATGGTGTCTTGGGCTGGCAGCTGTCCTGAAGGGGCTGCCTTGCAGTGGCCCCCGGGCAAGAGGGACATTTTTATGGGCTGCTGGTATGAGGGGAAGGGCACCCCCTCCTCTGAGCTGGGCAGGCCCCGCCCCCCCCCCCCCCCCCAAACTTCCCTGTGGGAATGAGGCAACCTCTCGCCAGCTGAGGGAAACCCTGGTCCATTCGTGATGCTCAGGCCAGCAGGGTAGTGGGGGTGAGGAAATGGGAGAACTCTTGCCTAGGGGAGATTTCCCCCCCCCAGGGCTTTCGCCCAGCTCAGGGGTACACCCAGGGCCACCCTAATGGGGCAAAAGGGCTCCTCCGCAGCTGCCATGCCATGGACCCAACCACACCTTCTCCTTAGACCGGGACCCCTCAGCCCACCTCACTTGGGGATCTCCACGTAGCATGAAAATCCTGGCTTCTTTTTGGATGTATATGGTCAAGGCTCATGTCTGCCTCTCCATCCTTCCTCCAGCTCCAGAAAACATGGGTCAGAGGTGGCTTCACATGCTGTACTCAGGTCCAGCTGAAAGCCCGCTCCCCTCTCAGCAAAACCAGGGTGCTGGGGCGAGGGAGAGCGTGCCGGCCCCACAGGCGTTTTCGGCACGTGGTGGAGGCAAGGCGAGCCTGATGGCACGACACGAACAGCAGAACACCTTGGCCGTGCTCTGCTTCGCTGGGCAGCGTTCCCTGCTCCCGGCCACACGTCACCGGTGGAGAGGGCTCTCCTGTGGCTTGTCGAGCCTCGGATGCTGGAGAAGCATCTCAAGCACCCCCAGCCTTGGCTCACCTTGACTCTTCCCCAGGAACCACCAGCTCAGCCCAACCTCTCCCTCTCCAGGCAAGACCCGGATCAGCATGCTGAAGGGCAGCCCCGCAGGTGTTTTGGCTGGAGCTCGATGGTGACACCCCACAGCTGCGCCCGGTCACTACCCCTTTCCCAGCACCCAGAAGCAGCCTTCCTGCTCCACTCCCCTGCCCGCCTGAGGAGCAAGCACCTCTTCACCCAAAACCCATCCGCTCACCCCATCGCATCTCGTGCCAAGAGAGCTTCCCCAGCTGAAATTTTGCTGTAACCTTTTTTTTATATGTTTCTATAGGTGAGGGACTAATGGAGTGCATTTGGAGCTTTGATTACACACATTAAGAGTCTTTTTCACTCTATTTCTTAGATAGCACATCATAAAGCGCACTTAGGCACGCGTTTTGGAGTTGGGAAAAGCCCAAGGCATTTTTCAGCCACCGCGTCCTAGGTTGTGCTCGGATCTAATTTCATTTTTAAAAGAAAAGGATGCGGGAGACCCATGGGAGGTTCTCCAAAACCATTTGGAGGAGCGTGTTCAGGTTCTGCTTGCTACAGTTTGACCTTCCCAAAGTGCCTCCCCCTTCCCTCAGCATTACAGGAGAGGTCTCCCTCGTCCTTTGTCAGAGCTTCTTTGTGTCCAGAAGGGTCTGAAGACCCAAACCAGAACTGACCCACAGTACCTAAGAAGGTACTAAGTGTGTTTGCATTTGACTGCAGACCTGATCAACGCTGGCTTAGGGCAGGCGCTGCGGTATCCCCACCACCAGCTCCACAGGTCGTTCGTACCCAGAGCAGGTCACAGCCCACCCAAGGAAGAGAAGACAACAGGTTTTGGAATGTAACAATTTATTGGGGTTAATTTTTATTTTTTTTTAATCTTTAACTCCCCATTTCTGGCATTGATACAATATTCAAGAGCAGCAGAAAGAACAAAATGTACAAGAATACAAGAGTAATTAGCACAACCCCCACCCCCAAACCTGGAGCAAACCATTTTCTTGTGGGAAGCGCCAGGGGAAGGGGTGATTCAATCGCCCCTCCAGTGGCTACGCCTCCCACCCATCCGCTCTAGACAGAGTTTAGCCAGCTGGGAACTGGATTAAAAAAACAAAATAAAACAAAAAACTGAACAAACACTATATTTAAAATGAAAATTGCAAGACAAAAAAAAAATATATAGATACAATTCATCCGTGCACAATCCTTAAATGCATTTTTTCAAAATAAAAAAATTACAAGATACATATTTAGGTTTATTTTAAATTAAAAAAAAAAATCACCACCTTCACTCTCTATGCCAAGTGAGGGGAAATAAAGAGACAGATGGGTTGCACCAGAACCATCAGCACTCTAGGAGTTAGGTCTGACCTTCTCTAAGAGAAAGGAGAAGGCTCTGATGCTGCCAAAACTCAAGCACAGGCAGAATCTGAAGCACCCAAGTACCACAGAGCTCAGTGGGGTAACTCGCCTGCTCAAAGTTCAGTATTTGCAGGAATCTGCAGGATTTGAGCCTAAGCTTGGCACTGGGGAAGGTGAAAGGAAGGAACAGATGAGGCGGGCCCCTGTCCTCCACCACCACCGGACAACTTTCTATCCAAAAAAGAAAACAAACAAGGGGGGGAAAATATCCCAAAAGAGAGAGTCCTCTATTCTTAAGGAGCGTACAAGGCTTAATGGCAGGGGAGAGAAGAAGAGGAGGAGAGGATACCAAGTTGATTAGCCTGGGGGAGGCATGGGCATGATAACCTTTTTCTAAAAAAAAGTAATCACAGTGATTATTTTTTTTGTTGTTCTGTTTGAGAACTTGACCTAAGACTACGTCCCCCTTTGCAGCCGCGGGGCTGGCAGCAGCAGGCTCCCTCCAGGACAGCTAAAGAGCAACCTACCTGCGAAAGAGCAACCCACCTGCTGCTCTGCCCAGAAGGAAACCCTCGGCACCCCTGGAGAGCGGGGCACAGCCGGGGGGCTGCTCGCGAGCACGGAAGGGCTCTGCTAGTCCTACGAGGCCCCGAAGCCCCCCGAAGTGCTTTCACGCTCCTGCAGTTTAGTGCAAGCTCTAAGTCCTCAGCTGAAAAAGGAACGAAGTCAAGAACCGGGGCCCTACAAATGGGAAGTAACACTTCAGCTGCTCGTCCCAACCGTGCCCCTTCCCTCCCGCCAGATATATTTTCTGAGCCACTGCCAAAGCTGGCATCACCCTGACGGCACCTAACCACTCTTCTGTCACCTTCCTTCCTCCCTACGCCGCAGCACGGTGCTTGCTGCCCGCTTCCCTGCTTCACTCCACCCGGGAGCACAGAGGGCATCCCCGCTCCTCCACCCCCGGTGCCGTCTCTGCTGGCACTCTCTGCTGGCACTCTCGGGTGGGTGCCTGGAGGGAGAAGGCTCAAAGCACGGCGCTCACCTGAGGTGCAGGGACTGTCACCACAAGGACCGCGCTTGCGAACGGTCCTGGAGACATTTTGTTTCCCACCAGAGAAGCTTTAAGGGACAGAAGAGCTGCCAGAGGCAGCCCACGACCACAGGAAGGGCAAACTGACTACACCTCCCTTCACTCCCAGAAGGAGAAATTTAAAGAAAGGGCGAAAGAAGAACTTGGGGCCCTGCAGTATCCTTACAGGCGAAGCAGGCGGGACACAGGGCACCTCAGATGCACGATGCAGAACACGTGCGAAGCTGCTGGTGCCAAGGCTGTTGACCCTGCACAGACAAGGGTGCAAACCCCACTAGCCACATCAGTCTGATGCAGGGCAACATCAAAAGAGGAGAGAAGTAGAGGACGGAAGGACAAAGGTGAGAATGGAGATAAGACTCCAACATCTCCTCCCATCTACACCCCCAAAAAGAAACCATACACATTGCGCTCTGGGGAGGGACCTAAAAAAAAAAAAAAAAAAAAAAATCAAAGAAAGAAAAGAAAATAAAGCCACTTCTTTGCTCAACTCCAAAGCATCAATGAAATGAAGATACTTGCTGGAGTTACCTGGGGAAGGAAGCACGGACAGGGAAAGGGGGATTTCTGAAGCAATACTCGGCGTTCCTCCGGCTCTGTGCAAACACCGCGGGAGTCGGGCTGCCAGCACCCTCAGCAGGATGGTCCCCTCCACCCCCCACCCCCTCCACACAGGGGAGACGGAGGCACAGGGCAGTGACGCAGCTGGCAGAAAGGCCACGGCAAACCAAGAAGGAACAGAACCCAGGAGGCATGGAATTCCCGGCCCCAAATTAACCCTCTACAGCACATCACCTTCAGAGCAGAGATCAGGAAGGCTGCGCACAGGGTGGTGGGTGAGACAGGGGGAAAGAGGGGAGGAGGGAGGGTTTCTTTTATATTTATATATTTATATATAAAAAGTAAATAAGATCCCAGCTCTTGCGCGATTATTGGGCAATTGAAAAATGCAGCAAAAGCAAGCGACATTGGAGTAAAAGGATGTGCCAGGCAAGGAGGAAAAGGTCTTGTCGGAAGGTGGGGAAGGAGGCAAGGGGAAAAAATAAGCACTTAGCCAGACACGCATTCCAGGTTTGTTACACCTCCCTGGGAAGAAGGACCTGCTCCCGAGCAGCCCCACTAATGCCACAACCTGGGGTGGGCAGAAGTGTGGAGGACTTGGGACACCATCCTTCAGTACAGCAACCTCTTTCTGCCAGGAGGTCCCCAGGAAGGTGATCATCTCCAAACGCTGGGAGCTGCTGAAACCTCCTCTACAAAGAGGGGCTGGGAAAGGGAGTGAAATCCCTAGGAAGACTCAGCTCAGAGACAGCTCCTACTTGGTAAAGAGCAGGATTGGTTTTTTTGTTTTGTTTACTTCACAAAATCTCCCTGGGAACTTTGGTAACGGGGAGAGGCGGAGAAATGCTCCTTTTCTTTTGAAAACAGAAATTAAGTAGTGGCTCACCACAGCTGAGCCTGCTCGCCACATTCTATTTCTCCATTTTCCATCTCAAAAGGAGCTTGCATCTCATTAGCTTCACGCCTCCCCAGTCCCACTCTGCTCAGCGAGGAGAAAAGAGAGCACAAGACAGGAGGCTGCCACTCCAAGCTGAAGGCTGTGGGAAGCACTGACAGAGCTCGATGGGCAGAGAGAGAAAGAAAAAGTTCCCAAGAGCAGCCCAGGCTATGGGAGGCATCGAGACATCCGTCACCTGCCACTGAAAAGCCAAGGGCACCAGAGAAGTCCAGACAAGAAAAGCTGTCCTAGCATCCCCTGCCTGCCACCTTCTGTTCAGACGCCAACATCTGGTGGCTTCCCTCTTCCCTACAGTCACTCCCACGCACCAGATGAATGCCCAGCAGAGACATCTTGGAAGGGGAAGCCAGCACGCAAGAGCTGCCTCCTCGCTTTGAAGAAACATTCAGGCAACTCATCCTCACCACCCCCGAGGAAGCCAGAGCAAAAGGCGACAGCCCTACTCGAGCACAGTCCTGTCGAGGTGTTCCTGTACCCTCCCCACCCCAAAACCTCCCAGCATTTGCTGGCCTCAAGAAGAGGGTATGCCTCACTTGGCAACACCTTCAGAGCACAGGAGGCAGCTCTCTCATCTGCCTCTGAAGAGCCGACTACTGTCAGAGATGGGACGCCAGACTACATAGAGATGGGACTTGGTTCTCTGTCCTGATGTGGTGAATCCTATACAGAAAAATGCCACTCTCCACCTGATGCTGAAGAAGTTAAGAGACCCTAAGGAGGGGAGGCGTATCTGTGTCCTGGGAGATAAGCCCACCGTGTTTAATCCTGCTTGGATACAGGGGAAGGAAAAGAGAAGAGACAGTGACTTGGCAGGAAAGGTACATGCCAACCCCAAATCTTAGCAGCTTGCTGTGCATGCAAAGCAAGTCAACTGTTTCCATGTTGGTGGCCCGATCCACGTTCTGGCAGAACGCGACCGGCCATTTCTGAGGGCCGCTCGGCCGGAAAACCACTTGGAGACTCCACCTTAGCTCACAGGAGAGGTATGGGAGGGAAGGGAACTCACTCCAACACTTGGGAGGCAAGGACGGGAAGGGTTTGTAGACAGGGTTCCTCCAACATGCAACTTGCCTTTTCAGCTCAGAGATCGCTGCTTAGTCCCAGAATGCCTTTCCCTCCAGTTCAAGCAAGCCAAACACCATCCCAGACACACATGCTTCGATACTACAAAATACTCTTTTCTCTAAGGACCATCTAATACCACTACAGTTTGTGCAATCACTGCATTTATTATTCATTTTTAAACTCTCTCTCTCTCTCTCTCTCCCTGTAGAAATTTTTTTTAAACTTTTCTTTTTTTATGCAAAACTAATCATTTCACTTTTTCCACTCCATCATAAAATCTCCTCTAAAAACACGACGACAAGAGAACAAACATGGCACAGACACAGAGAATATTTCCCTGTTGTTTTTTTTTTTCTAGGGGTTACGGGGAAGGGAAGGGGATACTTTCAAAATAAACTCCTCCCTCAATCCCATGCCCTTTTTAAAGGGCATGGATGGATCTTCTTTCCCATCTCCATCTTACAGAGCAAGGGCAAAAATTCAGAAGGAGGAGCATAACCCACGTGAATACGAAGGTAGGTTAGTCAGCCTCAAGTGGCTCGTCCACCTAAGGGAACTTGAGGCTGCTGCTGCCTTCAAGTTAGCAACTCTCTAACTCAAAACAGCACAGGATCCTCATTTTGGATCCAGAGGTTCAGGGTTTGGTTCCCACCTGGTGACCCACCCAGGGAGAGATTTGTCACACAAGCAGTCGAGCTGTGTCTGCAAGCCGGATCATACTCCTTTCTTCCTCCACGAAGAGGATCTACTGCACGAGTTCCTCTGCCGCAACAAGTCCCCTCATCTCCTCGCCACAGGAAGAAGGTCCTCACGGAGTATCCCTACAATGACCCACTGTTTTGCTCTTCACAGACAGTCCCCTTGCTTGTCACTCTGGAGAAAGGCAAAACCCCTTCGATTAAACAATTCCTGCCCCCTGCCCCCAAAGAACACCATACAAGAGACACTGGGGAAAAGAATTCTGCCAAGTGAACACATCTTGGCCAAAACACATCAAGAGTTTCCTATTAAAGTTCCCTTTTATCTCCCACTTAAACGCTTCATTTTTTTTTTTTCCAGAACCTCAATACCACGAAACAAAACACATCACCACATACACACCAAACAGTAACTTAACAACCTAAAGTGACTGGCCGGTTTGCATCCACCCCACAAAGAAGCTCCTCTTATCTCGCAGCCACAGAATAGTTCTTGTTGAGAAGGGGGGGGAAAAAAAAAAAAAAGAAAAAAGAGAGAAGAATCTCCTCGCTATTTCCTTAAGAGCGAGCTTTTCCCTATGCCTACAAACTGCTCATCTTTGAAGCTGCAGTCAAATGGATAGGCTATGCTAAAATAAGGGATCCCTGGGTGTGCCAGGCACAGGAAAGATGCAAAAAAAAAAAATCGACACAAAAAATACAGGCAGGTATTAATACAGACACGCACACAAGTCCAACAAGTTATAGGAAGCCTTAGCTTGGTGAATGGATCGGGGAAGTCTCTTTCTCCCTGCCCCTAGCTTCATCTGTGAATGCAACTGCATCCCCAAAGAGTCCACTAAGCTCTTTAACCAAGGAAAGAAAAAAAAAAAGAGGTGTGCAAAGGGTGGTGCTAACAGCACCTGGAATCCCCCTCAGACTGTCTGCACAGACACCCAACCGCAACTGGTGTGAATTCACCGTGCCCCAAGGCTTTGAATACCACCTGCTGCGAGGCAAGGCTTGCAGGGAGGGCAGCAAAAATTTTATTACAGCAACCCAGGCGCTAGAGGCGGGGAAAAGACAAGCTCTGGGCACAGAAGCCCTAATTAAGGTCAGAAGCCAGTCTATCCCTTTACCACCCCGACGACACCCCTGGGGCAGACAAGCATCACCTCTCTCCCACAAACTGCCTCCCTTCTACCCTCGGACTACTGCAACCACAAAATCACTACTCCGCACGAGAGCACTCCTCGGAGCCAGCAGCTCCCGAGCATCCTCGTGTGGAAGCACCAGAGGGGATGATTCCACTCGTGTTCACCTGCCCAGGGCAGGTTTGTAAGTATGCGAGCCCTGGCGCAGGGAATTTTTTTCCACCCTTTTCACCTCTGCAGCATGTTATGTAGAAGTGACACCACTCTGCCCCATCCCAAATACCAGGGATAGGGCTCAGAGGCGAGGCTCTCCCACTGATTGATCAGCACCTCTTTTCCTTGCCCCTACAGGCTGAGTCCTGTGCGAGTAGGGGGGAAAGGGAGAGCAAAGGAACAGCATCTCACTGTGAAGCTTAGGACCCACACAGAAATGGAGCAAGCCAGAAACGGCAGGCAAAAGAGAGAGCTTATTTTGGATGTGAACAAGGGGTGGTCAGGGAAAGAAGGAGCCGTGGGTAAAGAACAGCAAGCTGTGGTCTCGCTCGCTCCTACTTGCTAGGGGCGATGAGAAGGAATTTATAGATCAGCTCACAGGAGCTCTGGGGGAAGAGATCCAGCGCACATGCATACGATGTCAGAGACACAGTTATTTCTTATTAGCACCTTTGGTTGACAGTTGTAAGGGCTGTTTCAGATCCTGCAAAGACAGAGGGGAGCCCTCTTCCAGGCCATCCACCACAGGGAAGGGAGAGCAGGAGAAGAAAAGAAGCAGGAAGAGCAAACGACCCATCTTAGCATCCCTTCCTCCCTCTTTCCGAGGGAGTGGGGGGAAGCAAAAAGGGTCAGGGGAAGCTTACGCGCAAGGCAGGAGACCAGCCTCACCCGGCTGGGGCAGCGTCATGCTGTCAGTGTATCTTCCCCCAAACTGAAGGATGGATGCATGGCCCACTCCCACTTCCACCACGGAAAGGCCAGGGAAGGGCATTTCATGCCCTCTCCCCCAAGCAAGTGCAAGTGATGAACACCAGGAGGAAGATCTGGGCCAGAAGCAGACTCCCCTTTTCTTCCCTTCCCCCTGCAGAGCTGAGCAAGTTGGAAGATGCAGGAGAAGAGGAGGGACCAGGGCACCTGAAAGCACCCATACAACTGCCAAGGTAGCACCAATAGTCAAAGGAAAGGGGAAGCCAATATGGGGGCATATGCTGCGTGGGGCACTCCCCACCACCCCATCTTTGTCTCAAGCACCTTCCAGGCATGACGCTTCACCTGCCCCTCTCCCCTTCACTCTGGGGGCATCTGGATCAGCAACTGCCACGAGGACAGCAGAGGAGAGTGCAGAACCAGGCCGCAGGCCAGGAAGGATGGCAGGATCGGAGTCACGGCAAGGGGGAAACAGGAATGAAAGAGACTGCATGCACACTGTGGGAGAAGGCTTGGGGGGGTGTGGGCAAGGGCTCCAATCCTCTTACATCCTCCCCCTTCAAGGGTCTGGAGCTCCTCTTCACTTTTTGTCAAAGATGGAAGGGGAAGGAAGAGGAAGAGCACCTTCCCCATCACCCCCACAGGCACACAGACACACGCTCTCCCATCCCTCATCCCCAAAGGCTCCACCGCCCGTTGGACAACACCACATTCAAGGACAAACAACCACTCCCCAGCCCCACCACGACCCTCCCTGCCTCCTCCCAGCGGCAGCGACACCCAGGAACGGGGGGTGCCCCCGCTCCCCACCACTGACACGCTCCAGCCTCCGGGCAAGAGGGAGCGGGCAGGAGGAAAGGAGGAGGAAGGGTGGTAGTGAGGGCAGAGGGACAGCCAAGGGGAGAAGGAGAGAACTAAGGACAGCCATTCGCACCACGACTTCTCGCAGGTAGAGCTCCCCCCATGCCCCTGGAGCGGGGGGACCTGGCTGCTCACTTGCTGCCTCCGCCGCCGCCGCCCGCCGCCACCTTCTCAAAATCTTCTGCGTTGCAGAACTCCTTGATGGTGACGGTGAGGAGGTTGCTGGTGACATCCGTGACCACCACGTTGGAGCAAGGGGACATCTCGGGACGCCAGTCGCCGGCCTCCTGCTCCGGGTCAGAAGATGAGAGGGACAAGGAGGGCGTCTGCCCCCCACTGCACCCTCCTGGGGGAGAACGCTTGCTGGTGGCGGCTGACTCGGGCGGAATCGAGAGGTCGAGGACCTCTGACTCGCGCCAGTCGGGGATGGCAGGGCTGAGGGTCTCGGGCAGCAGCTTTGGAGGGGAATCATCGGGGTCAGAGGAGGAATGCGGGGCGGGCGATGGGCAGCCGGAGGAGCTGGAGCTGGGGGCATCATAGGGGGTGGAGCTCATAATGAGCCCACAGGAGGCTGCCTGGGAGCCTTCAGCCTCCCCTTTGCCCTCCAGAGAGGGGGCAGGCGCAGCGGACGGCTTATTGTAGAGCGAAAAGGCGCCGAACTTCATGTGGCGGATCTGGGTGCGGAGGACACTCTCGCTGAACTTTTTGCTCTTGCCAATGACACGGTTTCGGGACGGGATCTTGGGCCGAGCCAGGCCCCCGGCCCCGTTGGCTGGCTTCCCACCTTTGTCAATGACTTTGAGGTTGAGGATGATGCGGCTGCGCTTGGGCTCGCGGGGTTTCACCTTACGGTTGATGATGCGGACGGTCTCCGAGAAGGGCGAGACGGGAGGACGGATGCCAGCCCCCCCACCCACGCTCCCGCCGTTCTGGGGGTCTGGACGGGGCAGGGGTCTCCGGGACATGCGGTGGCATCGCCGGATGTCTTTCTTGAGCCGGTGCACTGCGGCGCTGGAGTGGAGCTTGGGAGAGGAGGTGCTAGAACCAGGCTTGACAGAAAAGTGTACATCCCCAATGTGGAGGGCCTCCGCTTGGGCCCGAGCCTGCGGTGGTGGGGAGAGAGAAAAAAACAGGGTCAGAGAGGCAACCTAGGTGCAGCCAAATCTCAAACTGGGCATCGCTAACATCAGGACATGCGCTTACCAGCAATGCCGTGTCACATTTATACCCACATTAATGACAAGCACACGTACACACCTATGGACTATTGATAGCTATGGCGCAGTGCCATACAAGCACAGGGCACTGTCTATATCCTTTTTGGCAAATTACTCCCTAGGCTGTGCCCCTGTTGGCACGTGCTTTCCCCAAGAGGAAATGGTCACCCTCCAGCCATGTTTTAGGATTACAGTTAATGGTTTCCAAGGCCCCCTCTCAGTCATCACCAGCCAACATACACAACCCTCCACTGCCAGCCAAACCACCAAGCATCCTCGTAGGCATTGGGGCTGTTAGTGCTGAGTTAGCATCCAAAATTACGTATGAGTCCCAGGACAGGAGACTGTATCAGGTCCTCTATGAAATGAGCACAAGACAAGGGGGAGATGAAGAGTAATGCATCCAGTTTGCTCTTCCCCTCCCACAACCAGACTCATCTGCTCTGGAAAGCATGGCAAAAGAGGGTCTTAAGGAACACAACTGGAGGTGGGTGAGAGTGGTCTGCTGGAGCTGTCTTAGCTAAACACAAGAAACGCAGAGATCTGAAGCTTAAATTTAACTAGAGACCACAAGCAAGTTGTTTATCCTTACTCTGCTGTGGCAGCAAGGCCCAGCATTTAAAGCCAGAGACTAGGCCAGCTGGAACTCAAGTCAAGTTTAACTGCATGACCAAAGAAGAGATTGCCTTGTCCTTTTGAACACCACACTTGTTTGAAACGTACTAACGAAACAGAGCAGGAGCAGCACCAGCTCAACTGCTTGGCGTCAACCTTCCCTGAGAGCCAGAGCAAGGAAACAAGACTTTTAAGCTCTTCTGGAGCTTGGTGATAGTGCCAAAACCTGCCTTGGTTCACGTACCAGGGACAGGAACATTTTCTGACAGCAGGAACAGCAGTTTCATTGGTAAATTGAGGCAGTATGACCCAAAGACCCTGTGGGCATGGAAACCCAGAGCATATTCTTACACCACGCCTTGTCAGAGCACAGTTGCTTGTAGAGCTCAGCCTGCCACCTGCACCCTACTCCTTGCCCAAACAAACCCCCTTCCTTATTCCCTCTCAGCAGCGGTCACAGGCAGAAGTCACCCAGGCCTGGAGGGGACAGGCGAGCCCCCCCCCCCCATTGCCCATCTAGTGAGCAGCTTCCCCCACCTCGTGGGCACGACAAGAACTGCAGTGCTAGAAGAAGACAGCTGCTTTTCCTCCCCAATTTTTCCATCCCGTTGCCCCCTAGCCAACATCGGGATGGCTTTTTGCCAGCTAAGAGCTTAAGCACTCCAACACCATCTCCTTTGTCACCCCGCAGGCTCTGCCTCCTACCAGAGAAACGCCTGGGGAAAAAAAACGTGCGTGTGAAGGCAGGAATCTAACAGATCGAAGTGAGGGGCCCAGGCCAGCTCTTGCACAATAAGCTCAAAGCCCTGGCCCTACATCCCCAGAGCTTTGCTGTCACCCCAGCGCCCCTATTCTACCGTCGAGATCCCCACAGGAACTTCAGAAGATCCTGAATGAGCAGAGAACAGAGATGCGAAGACATTTTGTTCCTCCCTGGATAACGTTGGATGATCATGCCCTTCAATATTACTTGTATCCGGGCTTTAAAAGGACTACAAAGATGAGGCCTCCTTCCCTGGTTGTTATGTGAACACACAGACCAGAGGCTCATCTGAACCAGGGACTCTAGGCTTTGTATTAGCCAAATGACAAAGAAACAGGGACGAGTAATACAACTGCCAAGGCAGGCACAGACACTCTCCACGTTAACCCTGGGCTGTAACAGGGCTGCTTCACCTAGTTAGAGGGAAGCGTCCCCAGCACAGACAAACCCAACACGTCCTGCTATAGCAGGAAGCATCCCAGTGTCCAGCTAGTTTCTCTTTGCTCAGCCTCGTGCCTTACTCCATGCCTTAAACTGTTCAGAAAACAAATAGGTAGACACAGTTCCTGTCCCAGGCATCCTACAGGCTGGAGCACAGCAGCAGCACCAGATGAACTCCCTGCACCACATATCAACTCTCCCCACCCCATCCTACTGATCCACAACTTAGAGACCCTGCAGACCCCATCAGGAGGTCACAGGCAGAGACAGATGCACATCTAGGGCTGTGCTCACTCCCTCTCTTCACAGGTCCCTCTGAAGCAGATGGTAAACACCAGGACAAGCTACGGTTTGCTTTCTGACATTACATACCAGCACAGCCTGGATTAACAACTTTATTCTTCCTTTCCCCGCTCTTTCCCATCACAGTCAGCCCTTCCAGCATTGCTGCTCTTGTGCTTTGGGCTTCTCGCCAATTTACCACTGTTCAGCTGAGAGCAAAGTGCAACGCAATGTCCGGTTCCAAAACGCAGGACAGGGAAGCCAGACAGAGGGTACAGACAGATACGCCAGTAAAAATCCTTGATCCACAGCTTCAGCGGATAGACACAGGCATCCTTCAGGGCTTCCTGGGCTGCCAACGCCGCATGTCTTCTAGATTAATTCCCTACCCTGTAATCATGCCCCCTCTGTGCCACTCTGCTCGGAGTCAAGTCTAATTGCCACCTGCCCACATTGCTGCCTTCCATCACCTACATGAGAAAAAAGGTGGCCTCCCCTGAGTCTGGGGGAAGTAGTCACAAACACCCAAAGTTGCCTTATACACCCCAAAATTCCTCAGCAAAGCTTCCCATCAACCACATTAAATGAAAAGCGATAATGCTGGGATGGTCACTGCCCAGCCACTTCCATAGTCCTGCTGATTTTAGTTGCTCAGCCTGTGCACGTTAATCAGCTCCTGTCCTGTTTTGACAGAGAGACCTGTCTTGGTTTTGTGCTTACACAGCAGCTAGCACAGAGCCCTGATCCATGGCTAGGACTTTTCCAGTGTGCCAGAACCAGTGGGTCTCCTTCACTTGCTACGTGTCTACGTTTCCAGTTAGTTCTGGGGCACTTCCTCAAGTTTAAAGCTGTTTCTAACTCATGTTTCAGCTCTCTGCATTTATTAAATTACAGTTTCAGTAGCCTCCGGGTAGACTACACACAGCATGAATCTTTTGGCCAGATTATTAAGAGAGAGGGTAAACTGGGACCCAACACTCCTCCCCTGGTGCTACACTGCTATCCCCAGTGGCCAGCTTCAACACAAGTTCCAAAGAGCAATATGCAAATATTCAGCTTACCTCGAGCTTGTTTTTCCAGGTAAGGTTTCAAGAAAAATAGTATCAGATGCTTTATCTAAGACCAGCCCCCAGAGCCCTCTCACTTGCAAAGCTCAGTATTCCTACCACAGGATCAGGTTTATTCAGGCATCAACTACACGAACTCGAGTCTCTTTCCTGCAGAGGACAGCACATTTTCTGGGCTCTCCTCCTGCTTCCAACTTCACATTAAGTAACTTGCTACTTCTGGTTTGGAGAGGACTCAGCATTCACTTTTATCTGTTGGAAACGCACTTCTCCCTGCTATGGATCCATTACTCGATCACACTCATGAGCTGTATGAGCATAAGGTCTTCGAAAAAACAAACCCGTTTAATCCTTTCAGCTCTGCCACCACAGTTTGCTACTTAACTCAGAAGTTTTCCAAATGGAAACTGCCTCTCTGGGTTTTGCTGTTTTCACCCGCAGGATTTGCTCACTGCCGAAGAGGTACTCAGCATGTATACGAAGTAATTCACTCTCTGCTTACAGCTCAGCCTACATCAGGATGCAGCTTCTGGAGGCTTGCTGCAGTGCTCTGTCACGAGAGCAAGCCAATTGCTAGGATTGCTTCCCTTCCCCCTCTTCCCTTTTGGGATATGTATCACCTTTATTTAGCTTGTACAGCTCTCCCTCATTGCCCCTGGGAACTAGTATAGCTCCCCTGTTCCCTACTATTTCTGAATAAATGTCCCTTGAGGCCCAGCAAGCATATTTGTTCATTCATTCCCTTAACGCACTGAAGCACACAAGCACGTACATGGACACGTGCTTAGAAAAGCCTTTCTTACCTGATTTGTATCAAAACCTCTGCAATTTGCAAAAAAAAAAAAAGACAAAAAGAGACCTTGTAAGGCAACGGATTTCTAGTTAATTATTTCAAAATCAAGTCATTTCCAGTAGCGCTGCTGCACCATAGTAGCGCTACTCTCTCATAAATTACTGGTTCTGCTTTGTCTTTTATTCTCCACCTGCATTCCCACAGTCCTTGCTCCAAACAGCATTCGCAAGAGCTCTTCTTTCCCCTTTTTGGCTGCCATTCTGCCTTTTTATCGCCCTCTTTCTTCTGCAGTCTTCCAAGTGACAAGGCAACAGCAAGCCAGTTCATAGCACAGTTCTCCCAAGCAACACTGCCATAAACTAAAGTTTCCCTACTGGATGGGGAACAAAATGCTACAAAGGGGAACAGTCTGTTTTCAAACCGCTCAGGGATAATTTACGAACAAGGAGGAGATCAAAAGAAACCCAACTCCAACTTTAGAGTTCAAGAAAGGGCAAAGCGACGGAACACCATGCTGCTCGGCCCCTTCTCCCCCCACAAACCCCCACCCACTAAGGCTCCTTACTTCTTCCTTCCCATTAACCTTCTCCAGTCTTTTCACCTTAGTATTTACAGCCACTCCGACTAGGGGGCTTTGCTAGCCACCCACTGAGCTTGCAAACCGGGCTCTGTCTCTTAATAGCACTTGCTAGACTTTATTAGATTAGTTGGCAAGTTTTGCATTCCACACAGCGCAGTGCTGAGGGAAAAGCAAAATAAAAAGAGCAAACCGAGCAGGGGAAAAAAGAAATATCGCTATAGCATGCACTATGTCTCTTTCTAACCTCGCACCAGCTTCCATTCTGATCTACAGCTGAAGGTCCTGTCCTCAAAGATGACTTCTGCCAGACTCCTAAGTAGTAAGGTAAGAGCTTTATGTACATTTCAGGCCAAGGACTCCACTTCCCATACACTCAGCACAAAGCTTGCAGCATACCAGCAGCCTCCCAAGAATTACAACCTCCCGCCAAGCTTGATCTCAGCTGTGGGAAAGTTTGCCCCTAGTATGCAGAGGATAAAGACCCATTTCCTGCCCAAAACTTTGCAGTTGAAGTTTGCAGGGGTCACTTTCAACACCGGCCATCTTGATAGCGATATTACAAAGCCTGGACTGTAATTTCCCTTTGCAGTCTGATCGAAAGGGCAAGTGTTAGCTCTCAGCAACAGGAGCCTGGCTTACAAAGGCAGCAGGTGGCCGAAGATGCAGCTTTTCAAAGCTTTTCCAAAGGCGTGGGCCACTAACCTGCTGGAATGCTTTCTGCAAATCCCCCTGGGTGCCTATCTGCAGCTTTTGAGAACTAATCCCAGGATAAACCTAGCCCCAACTGCAAACTACAACACCCACACAAGCCAGGGGACTGAGTGGCATATCAGGACACTTACTTCAATGCCTTACCGGAGACTCAGAAGCCTAAGTTTAATGAAAAATCCTAGCAAGCCGCTGAGTTGAGGGCAGACTCGTCTACCAAAGCAGTCCTAGGCCAGACTCCTGCTTAAACATCACTGCATCCAGGCCTAATCTGTTCAGTTAACAGATCAAAAAGAATATTGTTCTAACTGCCAACTCCAAAGGCTCCCTCTGGGATGCAAGAATCAAATTTCTTCCCCTGCTTCCGAAATTCTCACTGGCAAGAGATTCTGCAGCTGAAAGAACTGAAGACATGGTTAGCAATGCACGAGGCAGAACCAAATCCCACTCCTCCCACAGCAGCACCAGTGCTGCAGGGCTAGCAGTGGTCAAGCCCACATCTTCAGTAGGTCAGAAGAATTGACCGAGAGATACACACAACGCAAACTATCACGGTCTCCATCACATTTCCAGCCACAGCTAGTGGGTTTGCCTGAACAGAACTCAAATAAGTTCAGATAGGGCTAGCTGAGACAGAGTTACTTCTTGCTGCCTGGCCTAGGGTGTTATTTTTAGGGTAGGATCTGAAGTCCCAGAAAAATGGCAAGTCAGAGCACTAACAGTTTCACCAGCTCCGTTTCCCAGAGCTGCAAACCAAGCGGCAGTGGTAGCACTCTGCCCTGCCAGCCTCTCCCACAACGTGGCACCAGCCTTCAGGAGAGCTCATCTCGCTCCCTATCGCGATCCATCTTCTACAAAGTACCAAGCCAGCTCCGCAAGCCTACAGGTTTTCAGTAGCGTTTGAGTAGCTGGCAGAAGGAAGGTGTGCCACAGAAACGTGTCAGGGACGTGATTCAAAGGACGCTGTTGAATAATTCAGGTTCCAAGTTTAGGAGGGTTTTAAAGGGCAAGGGGAGAAGAGGAGGAATGAGTGGATTTTATTTTTGAGTTTGGGGGTTGGTTTTGTTTTTTTTAAACGAGTGAAAAATTTACAATGGATTTTGCCATATCACATTCAAATCAAAAAGAAACTGATTACATACAGTAATGTTAAAAGCACAGCATAAACACTTCTCTACCACTCTGAACAACGTCAGGTGTTACGAACACCAGTATTTTTTAATTCAAGCAGAGAACTATTTTAAGCTGGTGGTTTCCCTTTAAGCGTTCCTCTGCATTGTTGGAAACCTAAACACAAGGGTTTCATTTAATGCATGACTGCCAGAAAGAGAAAAACCAACTAGTCTAGTTTCCCTGAATAAAGCGTAAGAGGTGGTACATATCAGTTATGTTTGCAGTTCTCAGTCTGCAGATACAGAAAACTGTTTGCAGAAAAACAGGCAATGAGGGAGAAGAACAGTTCCATCAGCAGGACTTTCTGAGGATTACCAGGGTCCCCTGGGTTTTACTCAGGGCATCAAAATACGCCTGTTCCTGCATTTCTTCTGTGTGCTTCGTTATGTCCTCTTAAAGCAGAGGAGAGGTGACAGCCTAGCCCCCCCCACTCTTTCTGGTGCTCATACAGTTAAAGTGCTGTGCTGACTTGAGTAAAGCTCCTACTGCTGTCAGGCAAAGAAAAGTATTAACCTGTTTCACAGATGGGGAAACATGCACAAAGGCTAAATGACTTGCCCAAAGCCATAGGATGACTTAGTGATAGCGATGCCTTACCACAGGGTCCGCCCTGGCTGTTCCAGGGCTTTATCAAAACCAGAGAAGCTGTGAACTCGCTCATCTGTCTTAATTGTACAATAGTGTGTTCTTTCTACATTCATTTGTAGTCTGAGATTGAGATAGTTGGAGAGGAAGGGGGGCAGGAGAGGAGCAAAGCGAGGAGTTTTGTCTGTAAACTAATAAATCCACAGAGCTCACGCAGCAGTCACGCAGCTACCAGATTCCTTAATTAAAAAAAGAAAGAAAAAAAATTGGAGGGGGACTGCACTAGGGAAACCTTCCTCATTCTTCACTGCAAGCAAGCAGAGATGCTACAACAACACCTTCTTGCAGAGGTGCTGGGTCTATCAGAGGGGAACTGGAAACTTCAGCTGCTATCCTACACAGAGGTGAAACACTCCTCCCCTCACCCACCCCAAAAAAAAGCGAAACAAGCCTACAGTTTACAGATCAAAACATAAATCCTTCACAAAACTCCTGTGGAGCACCTACACCCTGAAACACAATCGGAGGAGCACAAGTGGCAGCAGGATTCCCGCTACAGCTGCCCGATGGCTCAGCACGCTGCTAAGTTGCAGGGCACGGGCTGGATGGAGTAGGCTGCTGAAGAAAGAGGGAGCGGGGCTGGCTAGCTCTCCACTGCGGCAGCAGAAGGCCATAAAGAGGGAGAGGGTATTGGAAAAAGAGACTGCAGCCTCACCGTGCACATCTGCGTGTGCCGACCGTCCTGCTGGGGCACCCGTCGCACGCACACACATTCTCCCCTCACACGCTACTGCGTCCCTGCCTCCCCCCACTTTCCTGTCGGGTTGTCCCCGCGTTCCCAGAGCCAGGTGGCCAGCACAAGTCACTTGAAAGTCCAGTCTTTCCAAGGGCACGCACCGGCAAGGTTTGAGAGATGTTTGGCTAGGCCTAAGTTATTTAAATAAGAGTTACCTTCAGGAGAAAAGTTTTAGGCTTAGGTCCTCTCTTCTTGGGCCCATACAGCTCACGCTCTCGTTCCCTTTAGGGAGTCAAATTTGTCAAGAAGTTAAAACTTTTCCCAAAGGGAGAAGCAGAAGCATATAAGTTAAAAAAAAAATAGAGAGAAAGAAAAAAGAGGAAAAAAGGAAAAAGAAAAAAAAAAAAAGAACAGAAGAGCCTGGACGCCCTTTCCCACATACCCACCCCAAGCCAAACCTGCTGCAGCCCCCCAGCCCAGGGCGGGGGATGAACACTCACTTCTGCTCGAAGGCTGCGATGAGGCGGGAGTCCAGGATGTTCTCCTCGGGTTCCCAGGTGCTGTACCTGCCGGGG